TGGGAAAAGTTTGAAATAGAGCACTTTAAAAGTTGTGATTTTCCCACTCAAGGCAATTAAGAGGATACAGAGGGTTATTTGGACAATGCCTTGTGTTCAGCGAGTGATGTGCACATGGTCAGTGCAGCTTGTGCTGCAGTCACCACCTCAAAACACAGAACTTACACCAGCAAGGAGAAGTTCAATCAAACCTGAGTTATAACCTACTATCTGTGTAGCGGAGAGCTCAGCAAAAAGCTCAGCCTGAAAGAATCAAAGAATGGTTTGAATTGGAAGAGACCTTCATGACCCCCAGCCCTACCCCTGCCATGTGCTGGCTGCCCCCAGCTCAGGCTGCCCAGGGCCCATCCATGGCCTTGGGCACCTCCAGGGATGGGGCACCCACAGATCTGGGCTCTCTTCACTCTGAGTGAAGAATTTCCTCCTGACATCTGACCTAAATCTCCCCTCTTTTAGTTTAAACCCATTGGCCCTTGTCCTGTCACTATCTGCTTGTGTAAAAAGTTGGTACTCCTGCTTATAAATTTTCCTCAAGTCCTGGAAGATCTCAGTGAGGTCTCCCTGGAGCCTTTTCTTCTCCAAGATGGGACTGAAGTAAGTTCTGCATTCAGATGGATGCTTCTAACCCAAAGTACTTTCCTGATTCTGTTCTTGATCTGAACCCCTCTGAGCTGAGAGGGGCAGGAGCAGACACAGCGCTGTCCCTACAGCCATACAGCAGTTCTGATACAGGTCTTTATATGAAATACTTAAAAACTGTCTGTTTTGAAAGTCTCCTGAATAGCTGCTTCAACTGCACTGTGCTAAGACTGATGGCAAAGCAGGGAGCCAGCGTATCAGCCTGGTGCTGGATTTCATGGTTAGGTTGCAGCCTGAGCTGTCTGAACTCAGGGCTCAGAATTCTTCCCACTTGGAGCTGTTTTTATTCAAAATGCAAAACCCATGTCTTTTAAATCAATCTGGACTTCAGAAGTGAAGAAGTGTTGGACTTCTCTTGGGTTGATTATTTTATTTATATTTTTTTATAGAATGAATCACAGAATGGCCTGAGTTGGAAAGGACCTTAAAGATCATCCAGTCCCATCGCCCTGCTGTGGGCTGGTTGCCACCCACTATATCAGGTTGCCCAGGACCCGGTCCACCCTGGCCTTGGGCACTTAGAGGAGTGGGGCATCCACAGCTTCTCTGTGCCAGAGCCTCACTGCCCTCATGCTGAAGAATTTTTTCCTAATGTCAAAGCTAAATCTTTCTTCTGTCAGTTTAAATCTATTACTCTATGTCCTATCACTATCAAAGCTCAGTGAGCTTTGCAAAGATAAATCCTGCAGTGGCAAGTAACAGAGAAGATTGCAAATGCCAATACAGGGGGTGTTTTTAAGTAGATCCTTTTGGAATTCATTTACTGAAGGAAGCATTTATGAAGCCATCCAGGCTTTGTGACAGATGACACCTTGCACAGAGAGTCCTCAGCATGTTGTGTTACCATCACTTGATCTCAGCCCGGATCCCTCAGTTCCTTCAGGTGATTGTTGGGCAGCCCTGGGGCAGCGCTGCTGAAATAGATGTTGGTATTTTCACAAGGCAGATTTTTATCAGGGTGATTCAAATATTTCACTCTGTTTGAATGGGATGAGTCAGTGTTGATTTACAGCTTTGTACGTTCTTGCTGCTGGGTTTGGAGCTTTTGTTTCTGAATTAGGAGATGGAAGCAATGTTGTACATGAAGGAGCAGTGAAGTTCTCAAATACTGTGTTTTATATCAGTAGGAGATGGTGAAGAGTGTTTCTTCGTTACTGGATTATTCTTTCTAACTTGTGAAGCTACTTTTGAAGGAAGATTTGAATCTAAATAAAAATGCAGGGAAAAAAAAAAGTTGGGTTTTTATTTAGAACAATAATGCCCAGAATGTGCAAAAATTGACTGATCTGCAGCTTTTGAGTTTGTTCTTCAGGAACTGACAACTACTAGATCTTATTCTCACTTCATCTGATTCCCATTCCTCTGCCCTGTTCTCCCAACTCAGCTGAAGTGGGGTTTCACTCAATAATGTTCTTCTGACATTGTGCTTTCGCTCCGGTTGTGATGCCTTTGGTTCTCTGTGTCTGAGCAGCAGGAAACTGAAGTTGGCTTTTCCCTTATGTGCTTCTCACAAGGTAGTGAAATTTGTGTTAATTTAATTGATGGAAGCACAAAGAAGCGTTGTCTGCTTTGCAAACAATAAAGCGCTGTGATCCCGTGTTCCTGGGGCTTTGCTTTTTCCCCCTCTTTATTTTAAAACTCCACCAAAAATCTCCACTTAAAAGCTACCTTTCACTGTTTCCTTTCATGCTATCATCTATGATCTATGCAGTGTCCACTCTGGGTTATTTCCTCCCTTTGTCTCTTACACTCTCCAACCCCTTCAGCTCTTGCCTTAAGGATCAGCTTTCCTCTGGCTTTGTTTCCAACCCTTGTGGTTTCAAGTTTGGCTGCAGTGTGGTCAGTGGGGCCACAACCTGTGGGTCTGTCCATGCCTTCAGCAGCACAGCCTCCATCTGTACCACAAGTGGATGCTGAAGTGCTGCAGTTTTGAATGAAAATTAATGTAGGCAGAAAATCTGACCCAAAAAAGTTGCTTTATGTGTGGTTGGCTCTTCTAAGCATTTACTTGCTTGCTTCTCTGGAGCCAGCTTTCACTACCACCTCCTTTGCTTGGAGTTGATCAGAAAGCAGAGCTTTTTGGAAGCTGATTCTGAGCACACGTGTGTGATTTGTGACCCCCAGCATGTGCGCACCATTCTGCACCCAGTCTGCATTTCTCAGTGCTCCATTTGCACCCCACAAATGTTAGGACATGTTTAAACACGACCACACCCAGGCTGTGTCATAACAAACCCCTGCCCTGGTTGTATGGATTTGGACAAAAGGATTATAAACATGAGCTTGGTTCACTCTCAGACAAGCTAAAATGAGTCACGCAGCAGTTAATTTGCAGTGTAGTGATTCCAAAGGTTTGCAAACCTGGAGAAAACAGAAAAATTATTTTCCATTACACTGTATGACCAAGACGGATGTGATAATGCTGTAACTGGGCCTTTGCAATTGATCATTTGTAGGAAGAAAGCTGGATTTAAGGGCTGGGCAGGGAGAAATACCCTTTGTACATTGCCTGTGTTAGAGCAGCAAGATCCCATTTGCTGTTCTCAATAATCCTGCTTCAAAATGCCGGGGGGAGCAGCCTCAGCAGCACAGAAATTGCTTTCTGCTGAGCTATATTCTGTGAGCGTTCGCTCTTAGGTTTAATTTGCCTAGGTGAAGCAGAACTGCAGAACAGGCTCCGTCTGCACTCTGCTATCTGCAGATCAGCTGCTGAACTGGGTGTTTGGGAAGGGCTGTAGTAATTTTGATGTTTGTTTTTTTTTGTTTCTTTTTTGTTTGCTTTTTCCCCTCCCCCTGCTCCTTCTTGAATAGGAAACCTCCATTTTAGAGGAGTACAACATTAACTGGACTCAGAAGCTGGGAGCTGGGATCAGTGGCCCTGTTAGGTAAGGCCACGCACCTGTGGATCTGTACGTAGTATCAGCTGTGCAGAAGTGAGTATGTATTTTAAGTGTGCCAAGAGCAGAAGGCATGGCGGTGTTGAAGGCTCTACAAGCAAATAAATGTCTCTGTACTCACAGCTGAAGTGTGAGCAGGGAATTTGCTGTTGCTGGGTTTGCTGGAAGTAAAAATTCTGCTCACTGCTGCCATATTCCTGAAATCAAGCAGCCCCAGGGATCGGCTGTGACCCGGTGGCACAGGGAAGTGCAGCTCAGGCACTGATGTCTTCCTGCTGCCCCATCTCACTGCTCCCATCCCAGTGTCAATGCTGGGACCATCAACACCATGTGCTGCTTTACCAGCTGCTTTTTCAGCTCCTCACATGAGGCCCAGCAGAGTGTGCACCCAGCACCAGGTTTTGTGTGGCTCTGTGACCACTGCCGGAGCTGGAAACAAAGCTTGTTTCCCTTTGGGAGCAGGAATTTGTTTCCAGCGCCTGTGCTCAGATGCGTGGGAGCCTGGTGGGCTGTTGTCCCCTGCCACCGTTTATCTTTCTTTTCAAGCAATTGGATTCTCATCCATTTTCTGTCACTGCCTCCGATCTTTATTAAAATATCCCTTTGTTCTCGATGCTTTTTGCTGCCTGTTCATAGGGCCCTGCCCTCTGACGTAGTTCAATTGTTAATATTAAATGGGGGAAAGAGAGAAAAAGCGTGTGCAGCACGTCTGGTGGCCTTCAAAATCAGGATGTCCGTGCAGAAACACTTGATTTATTGCAGACACCATCCTCCATGGGAGATGCTCAGGCTGCCTCTGTGTGCTTTGGGGTTTTTCATCACAAGTGGCTCTTGGGGATGAATAGAAGGAGCGCGTTCAGCCGTTACCACGGCTCTGAAGCACTCCTCCTGCATTGCTGAAAGCAGAGCTTTGTGTCGGGTGGTTCTGCAGAAGGTGTTTGGTTGATTTGGAAGGCCAAAAGCTGAGGCTTTCAGCTGGGATACGGTGACAGTGCTCTGTGTATCCCATGTTCTGGGCATTCCTTGTAACTACACATCAGTTTGCTTGAAGTATCTCTTTAATGTCCTTGCTGACCAAATAATTTTCTTGCTGTAATACCAGAGTCTGCGTGAAAAAATCCTCTCAAGAACGCTTTGCACTGAAAATCCTTCTTGATCGTCCAAAAGCTAGAAATGAGGTACAGTTTTTATTTGTTCTCTGCCATCTGACGCACCACAAAGGCTTTCGCTTTTAAGGAACTGCTGCAGCAGTTTAATATCTGTGTTCTGCAGGTCTTGCTGTGCAGGATTCCTTGCATTTAGTCCTCCAGGCTTGTTCCTGGAGCACAGGGGTGGGGACACCGGGTCTGCCTGGCCTTGAATGTTCTAAGTTAGCTGTATGTGTGCAAGAGGAATCTTCAGAGCTCTGCCCCATGCAGTGTAACATGAATAGCTGAGGTGTCATTCTGTGTCCACACATCTCACTCTTGGATGTTGCTGCTGTAAGAGCTGCCAAGAACACCTCAAGTTGCACATGAAATTGTTTGGGTTTGTCTGTATAGGAGAAACTAAAGAAGCTCACTGATACCATCTGTGACTTGCTGAGGGTGATGAGCGTGCCAGTGCACCAAACCATCAGCCTCTGAAATAATGAACAGCTGTTCAAGTTTTCATGAAAGTGTGGGGGGGAAAAGTTCTAATTGTCCTCAAGGTTCAGGCAATTTCCATTTGTGGACTAAATTTTCCCTTACTGCTCCCAGAGGAAGGAAGGTTTGGATATGAAGAGCATCCAGCCTTGCAGTTCAGGTCACTTTAAGTCAGGTGACATTCCTTAGGTTCCTGTTTCAGAAAGTCTGAGCAGATGAGTTTCCTTGCATGTGTCGTGAGCACTGCACTCATCCTCTTGGACATGAGAGGAGCAGAATTATGAAATGTCAGGTTTTGTTCTTGAATTTCAAGATATGTGTCAGCTTAAGTCTGATCTTCATTACAAATTTAAAGCTAGTTCTACTTCTAAATTTCTTAAACTAAAAAAAACTCTCAGCAAAATTAAAATAAAGAGCAACAACAAAGCAGCCCTAAAGATTGGGCTTTTTCTGGAACTGCTGGATTTCATTCTGTCATCTGTAACCAATGGACTCGCTAAGCACAAACTTACTGTCTTAGTCTCAGTGTGTAATGGCTGCTGGTTACTGATGTGGATATTTAGGTGTTTTAGGTATTTCTAGCTTTTTGAATAGTTGGAGGAGAATTTTACATTGCGTGTGAGCAGTGCTGAGCAGCAGTTGAGGGGGAGAGGGGATCAGAGCAGCTTGGATGCACATCACTATGTACAGTAACGCTTCTTCCCTTCTCTTTAAGGTACGTCTGCACATGATGTGTGCAACACATCCAAATATTGTTCAAATTATTGAAGTTTATGCTAACAGTGTGCAGTTCCCACATGAATCCAGCCCAAGGTAAGACTGCACAGCGTGTTTCATTCCCACAGCTTGCTTTCCATATTTAGGCCAAGGTATAGTGGAGTTTGCTTGCTTTTTTTCCCCTTGCAATCAGTGTGGCCAAAATGAAAACTTACTGAGGGTTCCAAACATTTCTGTATGTCAGGCTAGGCAACATTTACTTTTTCCTGTTCTTGACATCCAGGCCTTTACATATTTAAAAAAAACTTGATTCCTTCAGTAATGGTTTTGAGCACATCTTCATTTCTGAGGTTTTGCACTGATTTAGTCAGTGACAGCTGCATTGGCCGACAGGATAAAACATAGGAGAACTAGAAGTCAATTTCTTGAGGCTCTGCCAGTCCTCATCTCCTTGATGTCTATACTTTGTCCTCTGCAATGACAGCAGTAAAACTGTAAATTAAAATCAGGAGGTACAGCAGAGTAGATGAGTATCATTAAAGATGACCCTCGACCTCCTGCCACAAACATCTCCAGCATGCAGGCAGCTAGCTGGGCAAGGATGGAGGCAGACAGGTGTAGGTGTGCTCCAAGCCAGCTCAGTTTCAAGCACTCTGCCTGCATTATTACTCTTTGGAGGTGGAGTTGCACATTAGTGCATCTCAATGGCTCCCAGACCCGAGCTGGTGGAAGATGTGGATGCAGGGTGCAAACACACCTGTGTCATGGGATTTGTTCCAGTGAAGTGAGGTGGGTTCTCAGCATGAAGAGCAAACTGTGGGCTCCTGGCTGGCAATGAGTCAGGTGTGGTGGGAGCCAGAAGATCTGCAGGTGATGTACGAACTCAAACAATGGCTCAGAACAACTAAGTGGAAGAAGCGAGTATGTCTGTTTCTTTTGGCCTGCACCTGTAGATGTGAAGTATGCATTACTAGCTTAGCAATTCTGTTCTTCTTTTGATTAATTTTAATGTAACAAAATGAAATGCTTTTGAACAGGGCTCGGCTCCTAATTGTAATGGAGATGATGGAAGGGGGAGAGCTATTTCACAGAATCAGCCAGCACCGGCACTTTACTGAGAAGCAAGCAAGCCAAGTAACAAAGCAGGCAAGTTAACACCCATGTATAAGCAAATCCATGAATGCTAATGGCTAAAGTATTTAGCAATTTCTTGGTGGGGGGGAGGTGGGAAAAAAGGAAGCTAAAATAATCCTCAGTTCTGATCGAATGATCATTGCCTGCTTTGTTATAATCTGACAATGCTTAAGTTTCAATACAAGGAAAGAATCTGAAGGTGTGGGCTCCTTCTGCTGTGTTGGGACCCTACTGTCTGCTGTCCTTAGCAGTGGTTTTCCTAACACGGTTTACAGACCTTCACTAACAAGAACTCTTTCCTGCACAATCTTTGTCTGTATGTCTCACTATTGTCCTGAAAGCATTCCATCCACCAGTCCACAGGCTCTCACCAAACAATGCTTGCTCCTGAGCTCCAGTTTGAGAATCATTCTTGGCTGTGACATAGAACTTAGAATTTCTTTCAGCTCTTAAATGGGCTGGCAGACAATAACTCGTGTCCTGCATCGGTGGTTTTTCACCTGAGTTCTGTACTTAGTTTTGTGGAAGAACCCAAGAGGACTGTCCAACTATAGCTCATGTTTTCTGTGCTGTTCTGATTTCGTCCTTCTCTCTCCATTTCTCTAGGCAGCTCATTCTTGAATGTTGTGATTTTAGAGGGTCAGTATTTATTACTAGACATTTTGGTGTCCATGGGCTATTTGTGGCTTAGCAGTGCATCTGCTGTGATTAACTCATCCAGCAGGAGTAAGCAGGATGACAAAGCAGAAGGTCACTGTGGGATTCACTATGGGGAGCCCTAGTGTCAGCTCTCAGTTCTGGGTGGTTTGTTCCTTTAAGCCCAAGCTATTGGATGACTTGTGGCACCAGAAAGCTTTATTCCATGTAGGGGATAAAGGAAAGAGAACGTGAGATGAGATCATACAGCATTTGGTATAAATTGACACCACTGGTTATGAATACACCCAGTTCCTGATCACCCCCTTTCCCCTCTGTTGGGGAGATGATGTTTTTGGTACTGAGGCCAACAAAAAAAAAAGAAGAGGGCTGAATAATTTCATCTTAATGTTCTGTCTTGTGCTTTGAGTTATTTCTAATGAAATGCTAATATTGCTGCTACTTTTTGGCTTCATCCAGCAAAGAGATTAGGTGGAAATACAGAATTATTCTTGACACATTATTGTCATGTCCTTTGAGTGGGCATTTGATTCTGGCACTGCAAGGCAGTTACTGGGATTAACATGTTGGAAAATTCTTTTAAAACTGTATCTTTACACTGAACACAGACTTGATACACACTTGGGTTGTTCATGCTCCAGGTAACTCTTTGTGTTAACATTTATAGGCACTGTTTATAAGCAGTGCTTATAAATGTACTTTGGAAGCAACATTAAAGCCTTGTTCTTTAACCTGGTGATTCTCATCAATGTCTTGAACAGATCTTGGTTCCTTGTACCCAGCAATAACTAAAACCTTGTCACAAAGCTCCCTCACTGCATCTGAGAATACTCATTATATTTGTTTCTGAGCTAAGTTAACACTGAACTTCTTCTGTCACAGCAATCTGCAGTCGTTTAAGGACTCAGCACTTCACCCAGAGTGCTGCTTAAGGGTGTGATCCTGCAGGAGGAACACTTGCAAATGAGGATCATGTGCCTTTGCCTTACTTTGGTTTCAGGAATGCTGTTCAAGTATTTATGATTTGTTTTCCTTTAAACAGGTTGCACTTTCAGATGCATAAAGTCTGTAGAGCTTTCATGACAAGGTCACAGCTTTCTAAACCACGGCAGCATAAGAAGTTGCCTGTGAAAGAACTGAGTAATACATTTCTGTGTAATACTATGTGAAATGAATAGACTGCAGGCAGTACCTTCAAGAACTAAAGAATAAAGCTGCCTGAGTGGTAACTGTTGAGTTTGTTAAAATGCAGTAAAATATTTTGCTGAAGTACTGAGGCAGGAACTCATGTTTGACTTACGTAATCACTGGAGAGCATGCAAGCAAGTTCAGTCACCCCCAAGGGCTAGAACAGCATACAAAAGGACACTGTCATGACTCATTTCACTTCTGGCAGGTGTAAAAATGCCCAGAGTTAGTCAAACAAAAAGGGGTGGGAAGCCCACTACAACTTAGCTTTTATTTTCTGTTTGCTTTGAGTGAAATGCAAACTGAAGAGCTTTGTTGGTTTCATCTCCCTGTCTTCACACTTCACTGCACTGTTGCTCTGTACAGCCAGGGTTGTCTTCCCTCAGAATTGTATACAAGCAGAATTAAAAAGGTTGGGGCCTAGGCTGTGTTGGCAATGTGATTGAAAAGATAGAAAGACAATAACTCTCCAGGCTGAAGGAAGAGTTCTATAATTGCAGCTGATTTGTTGTGCCCTTTTTCAGATAGCTTTGGCTTTGCAGCATTGCCACTCACTAAACATTGCACATAGAGACCTCAAGCCCGAGAATCTCCTCTTCAAGGATAACTCTTTGGTAAGATTAAAACTTGGCATTGTTTTTTGCTGCTGAATTCTATGAAAACGACTCCATGATGATTTTCAGAATAGTTTAAAAACGTAAACTGATATTAATGCAATATTTTGGTGACAGAAAGGAATGACTTTTGGCTTTGTGTGTTTCCATACTCCTGTGTGGTCATGGGGAAAATCCTCTCTGACCCTCATGTCATTAGGATGTTTTATACATGCCATGTAGTTGCTTTGACTGAAGTGTGCATACCATGCCACATGTTTCTTCCTTCTTTTGCCCATAACCTGCACTTGCAGTGACCTCCCTACAGTGCATTTGACTCTTTCCAAAGCAGACAACTGCTTTGACCCCTAGTGCCCAAGAGAACAAAGATGGTTGTTGCAAAGATTGGTTTATCATCTTTTAGCTACTTTGTGGGATGATAGGTGTGTAAATACAAAACAGGAATACATGGGGTAAAGGTAAGAGGAGTAGGAAGCATTAAGGATGTAGTAGAAATGCTGATTTTGTAATGTAACATCTTGTTTTAGGATGCACCTGTTAAACTGTGTGACTTTGGGTTTGCCAAAGTAGACCAAGGTGACTTGATGACACCACAGTTCACTCCATATTACGTAGCACCTCAGGTAACAAACTATTATGGTTTGAAGTTATAGGGGGATAATGACCTTTTGCTTGTGCCTTCAAAATAATCTAATATTAAAAGCCCTTGCTGTCTTATTAAAAGCTTTTGCATGCAGGAGTTGTTTAGGAGCGACCTTTCAAGACTGAGTGCTACAGTGGTACACTGATCAGAATAGGAGATCGTGATGCAGGTTTCCCAGATTGTGTGGTTGGTTTGAAAAAGTCCCTGCTTCACAAATCCTTGTAGCTCAGGCTTATAAAGGTTACATTCCAAATGAATGTGCTGAAACAGTGAGGTTCTATAAAGGCAGTTGCTTAGGAGGAGGGCAGTGTCAGAGGTTTACCAATTGACTTTGACTTGGCTCCCTTGTCATTATGCATTGAGACATAATTTATAGTTGCAGACAGGCTGGTTTTTGTAGCACTACTTTACCTGCTTCACTGAATCTTTCCCCTGTGTCGAAACATTCGGTTTTAGGAAGAGCAGGCTGAGTCTGGCAGTGTTCAAGAGCTGTAATAAGGCCACTAGTGGAAAAGAATGCAACATCTTTGGCATGGGCATCTTGTTTGTGGTGTCTGTAAGTTGTGTGCTTTTTGCAATCTTCTCCTCTTATGGCAACAGGTATTGGAGGCACAAAGGCGGCATCAGAAAGAAAAATCTGGTATTATCCCCACCTCTCCAACACCTTACACGTACAACAAGGTAAGCCATGAGACATGTCAGTGTCTTCAAAGCATTTTGTTGAGGTTTTTTTTTCCCTCCACAGATTTAGATGCTGTACACATAGTCTGTAAGTGCAGTTTATCACCTAAGACAATAAACTTTATTGTCCTCAAATTTCAAACGCATACAGCCAGGAGCAATAAAGTTGTTCAGGTCTCTGTGATGTCCATACATCTAACTAGGTAGACATCTCACACTGAGCTAAAAGCAGGATCTACAGGGAACTGGAGGGAAACATCACGTTGCTTGCTAACTGGTATATGTATGTATCTTCAGCTACAGGGATATAGTATCTTTGGGGCTGTATTTCTCAAATGTGTGGCTTATTCAACCATTCTGAAGGAAGGAATAGGGAGTTCACTTCTACATTGGTATTTCTCCCCTTAAATGTGCTAGGGCCAGCCCAGGTTTCATTCAGTTGATGGGGAGGACTGGTACAAATAATGATCTGTGCAGGTAGCTGTCTTTCTCAGTTAGGTTAAAAGTGACCTGGTAAAGGGAGAAGGGGAGTGCATCTGTGTTTTTTCTGATGGAGTGAATAATGGAATTTGAATGAATCTAGTCCCAGCCTAATTAATGATCCTCCAATTAAAGGGAAAATATGCACTCCTTGTTAACAGGATCACTAAATGTAAATGAGATTTTTGAGAGACCAGGTAGGAAGGTCTTTAACCTCCATTCAAATGAATCCTCTTCTCTGCTGCCAGCTGCAGTTTCTGGATGTGCAAAGCACTGTTTAGGCTACATTGGTCAGACAGTCGTGGTGGTGTCTTGTCTGCATCAGGGCTCTTCTGCCAGATGACTGGTAGCACACTGAGTTGTCTGAAGCAGGAGACCGTGGGCAGTGACAATGCTGCTGGAGCCTTGGCAGAGTTCTGACAGAATGTGTCCTGAAAGATTGGACTTCTTCTTGGTCACTGCAAAACATCTTCCCTCCATATCAGCATCGCTCACTTCACAAGGCAGAATCAAGTATTGAGTACTGTGGATTGAAGCAGGTTGAATCTCAGATAATAGCCCTCTCCAAGGGACTTCTCTTTCATTGTAAAAGGATAGATGCAGTTCAGAGTCACTTGAAAGTGGTTGCTTACTGTTCATACTGTTCATTTCTTCTTTAATGAGCCAAATAACCTTGTTCAGGGCAACTAAAGCAAAATATGGGCCGTGTTCTTGTACAAAATAGAAAAGCTTTGAAAATAGGTATCAACTGGAGTTTGCATACTTGCTAACAAGTGCCTCGATCACCTGGGTGTCACGGTGTGATGAGTGAATTTGTTTGCATGTGTTTCATTTAAAAAGTACTACTTGGTCACTCTGAACTGCTTTCAGTCATGGTGGCAGGACTGACTGCAAATGAACAGCCTCATCCTTACCTTGCCAAGTGTGACTCACTTGCAAAAGCAACTTCTGGCATATGCCTGGTTTCCCCAAATAGACTGTGCTAAACTCCCAGGTACCCCATCCTTCCACAGCAAGTCAGAGCCTGGCAGAAAGGCCTGTGATTCACCTTCATGATCAGCAGCTCCATCCCACAGATGTAAATTGGAGGAAAAAACACGTCTGTGATTTCCTGAGTATTTTTGTTAAGCTGGGTGCATTGGATCAGATGTGTTGTGTTTGTCATAGCAGAGGAGGCTGACTCTTGAAAAATAAAATCTCAGAACCATATCCAGAAAGAATTTAGATTTAGACACCTGTTTCCAACTTGCACATCTAAAATCCTATTGGTGCCATTAGAAATTATCTCTAGTCACAGTGAAACAGGAAAAACAGTAAAAATCACATGGCTAAATAGAAATTAAGACTTCTAGATCCATCTGACTGACACAAATACCTGTGTGGAGTGACTCTGTGGCCAGAAGCGAAGGCTGTAGTTTCATGTTCAGTAAGAGCTGATCCAGGTGCGCTCCCTCTGGAAGGAAACAGTCACACCTCTGAAAGCCCTTTTCTGGGTCACTGCTGATCCAGACAGAAACCAGCCTTGGGAGCTGGGAATTCTGTTTGCCAAGTTTGTCCATGTGGCTTCACAACCAGAAGTGCAGCATTCGTCCCCAGGGACAGCATGGTGCAGCTGCACAGGCTTCTGGCTTTGGAACTGATTGCAGAACCTCTCCAGCCCCTCAGCTCCCCAAATCTGCCTTCAGGTAGTTTTCCACAGCCACCTGCACCTAGCTGGAGCTCAGGATTCTCCTGTCTGTATATTCCTGACCCTTCTTGCATTGCTATAAGCCATCGGAATTCCCCTGGAGAACTGAGAGGACTGAAAACCAACCAGTAAAAAAAAATAAATAAATCCCTGCACAAATGTAGGAAAGAAATATTGCAGGTGGGTGACAGATGCAGAGGCAGTCCTTCCAGCCCCAGCCTGCACCAAGCAATTCCAGAGCTGCATCTCTAAGGACGTGCTCCAGTCAAAGTCTGGGCAGTTATGATCCTCTTCCCTTCTTCAGAGTGGTTGTGAACAACAGATATCCAGATTCTCTCTTTTTTTTTTTCCTTCTCTATAGTTTCACATTCTTAAAAAACAATTGAATGATATTCTGATTTCTGTTCTGACATTCAGAGCCAAGGGTTCAGCTATCCTGAGGGGTAATGAATACGCAGCTCGTTCCAGCCTCTGACGCACTGCAGTTTCCATGCAGGTTGCCATTGCCCAGCAGAGTCATAGGAGCACGTTCTGTAAACAAGATGGCTCAAGTGCTGGAAGGGTTCAGCTTGGCAGCATGGAGTTACCTTGTGCTTGCATGTTTGCCAAGAAGATAATTTCAAATGCACTTTTAAACCAAATGAGCAGGGAGAAACAGCGAGCAGGTATTACCCTCCTGAAGGAAAGAGCACAACATCCAGCAGCTAAAAGGGAGAGAAATACTTAGGAAATGTTTCTGATGGAATTATGACCTTATAAGAGAGGAAGAACAAATCCATGAGGATGCTCAGATGTTCCTTTTTCTCGGAGCTGTGCTCCTGTGTCCATAGGGATCATGTAGAACATTTAACAGAGGCGCGTCGCTGCAAATCGCGCCCCAAAGTGATCCTTTCCTTGCTTTCAGAGCTGTGACTTGTGGTCCCTGGGTGTCATTATTTACGTGATGCTGTGTGGATACCCTCCGTTTTACTCCAAGCACCACAGTCGGACAATTCCAAAGGACATGCGGAAAAAGATCATGACAGGAAGTTTTGAATTTCCAGAGGAAGAGTGGAGCCAGATCTCAGAGATGGCAAAAGACATTGTGCGAAAGTGAGTCAGCTGAGGAGAATGTTGTGTTGCTCTGTGCTTGTATTAAGAAACTGGAAAATCACTTGACAGTGCCTTATCACATAGGGATTGTTTTTCCAGCGGCGGGGTGAATTGTCTGCAGCACACAGAGCTGAAAAAATGCCTATGTTCAGCACAAAAGAAGTTTGGTAAATACTTCCCCCCCTCCCCCCTTTTCTTTTCTCTCTGTGTACAATTTCTGATGACCCTAAAGTTGCTGGAATGCACTGTGCTTTTATTCTGTAACTGACTGCACACCTGTGGGCAGTCTCCAGGTGTCCATCTCCTGTGGCAGTGTCCAAACTCCTGTAAAACCAAAGGGCAGAGTGTCAGACTATGAGATGAGATTTTGCATGGTATTTTGTTCTAAATGCTGCTTGGGAGCTGGTTTTCCTGCAGTACACATCTCTCATTTGAAGTATTTCAAACGTTGTGATCCAGTGGTCCTATCTGAAAGCATGAATGTAACACTGATTATGTGCTGGCCTCACTTAATTTTTTCAAAAGCAAGAGGGACTTATTGCCTTTGTATCACCAGAGGAACTGGAAGGGTAAAAGCAATAGAAATAGGGGGAAAAAAAATCTGTAATACAGTTTTAAACTGTTGCTGTCGTTTGTGATGTAATTAAAACCTCCACGGTCTTAACATAGTTTGGAAAGAGTGCTGAGTCCCGTTTATAGCAGCGCAGGAAGGCCCAAATCTTTCACCACATAAATTGCAGATTATGTTGCAGTGAAAATTCTGTTTAAACCGGGGTCAGCAGTCAGAAGGTTTCATTGTGTTTTAAAATGGCCATGAAACTCATGGAGTGCTGTCGCTTGGCTTCAGTTCACTCAATTCTTGAGTAATGTTATCAGGACTCGCTTTCTGGTCTGTCTTTTTCAGCCAAAGAGTCTGAATTTCAGCTTACAGTGCAGGAGTACATTTAGAATGTATATAATTATGGAGGAGTTTACATTTTATTTGTGTGTATGCACTTCACATGAAGGCTTGCTTCTGGAGAGCCTCTTTTGCATTCCGGAGGCCATTTCCCTTCGAGCGTGTCAAATTGATTTCTGACCCCAAGCTTTACAAGCGGAACTGCTTGAGTATAGATGAGGACATTGAAAACTGATGAAAAAGGAAGGCATGTGTCTTGGATTAACACCGAACTGACAGCCTGTTTGGCAGCATGGCCTTGCAAGTGAAATGTTACGAGCCAGTCTGTGGTCCCGCTGACGTTTTGTAAAAGTGATTTCCACTTTCTTGGTACATTAAACAGTTCTGCTCTGCAGCCAGGAAGCTGATTTGGAGTATTGTCTGAGAATGTGTGACAAACCGATCAACTCGTTCTGTTCCTAATTGAAACATTTGGAATACTTGTCAGCACTCTGTGTGAAATGTTATTTTTCTATTAAACAGTAGTGATTATCATGGGAACGCGAGTTTATCTGCATAATCTCTTTCCAGGGTGTCTTTCCAGTAACGTTTAATTCAGAGGGCTTTTCAGAGATTTCAGAATAATGTTCCTTTTCATTCTGAGTCACTGCAGCTTGCCAAAGCACCCATTATTTCAGGCTTTCACAGAGGGGAAAAAAAGCAAAGGGGTTGCCCAGTGGAAGCAGTTAATTCAGAAAATAGGTTTTGAGCTTTGAAGCTTTGCCTTACTTAACCATGCCCACAGTGCTTGGTCTGCATATAGACTGTCATGCAGATGAGCTTTAGACACGCGTTTCTATGGTGTGTCGGCCTGGATCGTTTCCAGCTTGTCTGGAAGACAATTTCCCATGAGGGAGGATGTGAATATAATGTTCAGCTGGATGCAGGTATTAGCAACATGGCCGTCGGTGCCTTTCTTTACACCAAATTGCTGCTAATGACTGAAGGAGCTGTGACTGCGTTAAGATTCACCGCAGCAAGGCTCAGTGAGGCTGACGGAAAGTCGGGCTGCCTTGAGGTCAGCTGAAGGTTTTGGTTTATTGGGAGCGGTTTCTTCTTTTGGTCTCCTTAGTGTTTAGAGATTGCCAAGCGCTCTGCTCACATGGAGCCGCGCGTTGTGCATCCCAAAGACCTCTTTATGGACTGATGGATTCCTCTCCCAGGTTGCTGAAGGTCAAACCGGAGGAGCGGCTGACCATCGAAGGCGTGCTGGACCATCCCTGGCTCAACTCCACTGAGGCACTGGATAACATCCTGCCCTCTGCCCAGCTGATGATGGACAAGGTTTAAACAACGTTTTGTTGTATCAAGATTATTGCACAGAGGAGCTGCTCAGCTTCTGGGCGGTTTGAGAGTTGTCTGTCACACCCCGGCCGTAGCTAACATTGTCCATTAATTCACAAAGCATAATTCTTTTCATTCCAGGCAATGGTTGCAGGGATACAACAGGCTCATGCAGAACAGCTTGCAAACATGAGAATCCAAGACCTCAAAGTCAGTCTCAAACCCCTTCACTCCGTCAACAACCCTATCCTGCGCAAAAGGAAATTGCTGGGGTAACTCTCTAAAGCTGTTTTTGAAAGATCAGAGTGTAGGCAGCTGTGATGCTTGGAGAGTGGCTTTAAACATGTTACAGGTTCATTCAGTTGTAACTGTGCTCCTGAATTTCTGATTTGGTTGCCACACTCTTCATGCAGAAGCGGGTGGTTGGAGCAAGTCGTACTTGCATGATATGGTGCCTCTTCCAAGATGGGGCGGTGAGGAAGGAGATGGAGCAGGTATTATGTGATAGTGGAACAGATCCATTATGAGGAGATGAGTCAGATGTTGAGAAGGCAACACGAGAGAAAGAATTGCAATTTTTTTTTTCCAGATCTTAACATTTGCTTACAAAAAAAAAAAAGTCAGGTCACCTCTCTTTGTTCAGGTTACCTAATTGAAAAACAGAATGATCAATGTTAGGATTACCCTTCAATTAGTTTGAATTAACATTTATTTTTCTTCATTTTCTTCATTTAAAATGGTCTCGTAATGCAGCATGTTGTAATAATTAATGCTAAATTTGGCTCCCTTTCACAGCTTTCCAGACAGTGAAAGAGAGTGCTCTGCTGGTGCAGTTATGCAACGAGTAACAGACATGACTTGCATTCAGAGTGTAATTGTTCCTTCCTTGTTCTTTTGCAGCACCAAGCCAAAGGATGGTGTTTACATCCACGACCCGGAGAATGGAAGTAATGATTCCAATGTGGCTCTGGAAAAGCTCAGAGATGTGATTGCTCAGTGCATTCTGCCACAGGCTGGTAAAGGTTGCCACTTTTAAGAAAGTTCCATTCCTAAATACACCAGGCACTGATTTCTTTTCCTGTGCCTCAGGATCAGTGCATCAATACTGACAGTCTGTCTTGAGAGGATGTTTTCTGTGGACTGTAGTGCATGCATAACAGTGTCAACAGCAACATGTGGAGTTGTTAAAATGAACTTCCATATAGGAATGTTTGCCTTCAGGCCAGTTTCCCAGTTTGCGTGAGGCAAGGGGGAATAACTGAACATATTGTTTCGTAAGTGCTGGATGTTGCTCAAAGGCAGAATGACAAAGCTCCTGTTTGTCTTTGTTCTCCTGAGCAGGAGAGAATGAGGATGAGAAGCTGAATGAAGTGATGCAGGAGGCGTGGAAGTATAATCGGGAGTGTAAGTTGCTGCGAGACACTCTTCAGAGCTTCAGCTGGAATGGTGAGGAACTCCTCCTCCCTGGAGAATGGTGCTAATGCTGGTGAATGGGTGGGAGCAGGGACCTTATGACATGGAGATGAGAACAAACTGGAGTTTGTGCCAGGCTGGTGTAGGTTACAGCCCTTCTCCAGCATGGATGTGTTAGAAATTGAGGCTTGAAGTTCTGCTTTAAAATGCCTGTTTGAGGTTCAGGATAGAGCTCTCGAAGGCACCAGGTTGTTTACAAACTTTGCACAGATAGATCTTTACATTAGAAACTGCTTCAGCTGGTTTCCTTCCAGCTGCTTATTAGCCTCGTTCTGTTGGAGGCTGCTGCCCTTATCTCTGTCAGCACAACGTCTCTTCTGCTCAATTTAGGGAGGAAATGGAATTAAACTAGGCCAGCTGCTTTTGGGGCTGCTCAGATGGCTCTTGACATAACAGAGCATAGTGTCAGCCAGGTTCACAAGGCTTGGCCATGCCTCTTCCTTAATTATTGTTTTTTGTTTTAAGCAGAGCCAGAGATCTTCACTCATTTTGCTGGCCCTGCAAATGCTGTCCCAAGTGTGTTTTCTCTCCAACCAGTGTGCGATGCCAGCAGTAATGACTTTGTACCTGCTGACTACCTGTTCTTTTCCTTTCAGGCAGAGGATTTACAGATAAAGTGGATCGACTAAAACTGGCAGAAATAGTAAAACAAGTTATTGAAGAGCAGACAAACTCCCATGACTCTCAATAGCTGGAGCTTCTTAATCTTTTTTTTTTATGGAAATTTAATTTACCATTTAAGATTTATTCTTTAACTGTAAAAAGTATTTTTATGTAAATTAATAAATCATAATTATTTCATTAAATTTCCATACTGCTTGAAAATGCTGTATAGTTGTAGATACAAAAAAATCATTGGTACTGTAATATTTTTTTAAAACTCAGTTCCTTGAGGTATATACGATCACTTACGTACTGTTAATCGTAAGTCCCCCAGATGGGGCAAATTATATTGTTAAAAACCATTCTTTTTCTTAATAACCAGTTGCAGAAGCTGCCTTCCATCTGCTATACATACAGCCAGCTGCAGTGACTATGTATATGAAAATGACAGCCAGTTTCTCAACACCCTGCTCAGTAAGTACTTGAAGCAAGTGCTGTGAAATACAAACTTCATAGCTACCCTTTGCACCTAAATTCTGAGTATGTAGAGGCAACAAAATAGCCTTCTGTTCTGCTAGATGACCCCAGAGCCACGCTTGGCCTTGCCAAGGGCACCTGAGTCCATATGCTAGCTGTGTTTTTCAGTTCTGATCAGTAGCTGCCTTTCTTTGCCTTGTAACCCATCTTCCTCAGAACTTCTTTATGGCCTAACGGCCGTTCAGCATAAGGCTCCTCTTTTTATCATACTCTTCAACAGCAGAATCAAAGAATGTTCTAGTTACTTACGTACAAGCTGTTTTTATTTTCCTGATGGGATCTTCTACAGACAGCAGTAAATATGGGGTCCATTTGTTTCGTCTCCAGATCAGAAGCTGTATGTGTTGCACCCTATTCTTTCCTCTCTAGAAGACCCAACACTTTGTTTCAGACTTATCCTCTTGTTTGAAAGAGATCATCGTGGCAAGGTTCCTGATACTGCTGTGTGAATCCACAGCAATCCTTCTCTTGTGTCACCCTCTGGAGTCCAAGCTCCCCATCTTTTTGAGGCCTTCGAGCTCCTCCTGGTGGAGCCACAGATGCAGGGCTGCTCCTTGACGCGTCCTTACGCTGCCTGGACCACGAGGCTGTCCAGGGCAGATTCTTACACTAGTTTGGAACATTGGCTCCAAAAGCTGCTTTTTTTATTTTAAACGAAACAAACAAATGAAAAGATTCTGTACATATTTCTAGTTTTCTACCTTCTGACACTTTTCTTTCTTTGAGACTGGTCGAAGGCTTTTTATAGAGATATTTTGGTACCAAACACGTGCAGACGTTGAATGAGTTTGGTCTGCAGACTGAAGTGCCAATTCAGGGCTATTAGTATTGACTCTTGATCATTATTGTTATATTTCATAGCTCGTTAATTTTGGGTTTACATTTACAAACTTGAGCCATGAATCTCCCATTTTCCTCTGACGGCAGTCCAGCCTCCTTTTTTGTCTCTTTTCTATAACAGACTTCCTTGTAACCTTTAGCTTGGATGGCAAACCACTGTCTGACTCTTTCTATACAATTTTGTAAGCAGTAACTCAGTTTTTCTACATGAAGGAGATATTTCACTTCCCATTCTTCATCAGCACCTTCTCAGCTTTCTTTTAATCCCGTTGACAGTTTTCCAATGCCTGATTTACTGCAGAGTGAGAACCACAGTCCCTAGCTGACCATCACTTTCTCTGATGGAATCAGGGAGTTTTGGCATAAGCCAGAATTGTATTTCTGACACTACGTGGAATGTTTGTGTACTGACATGCATCAATGACAACTGGAGGGAATTGGCAGGAGATGAGCATTTGTCATTTCTTGATCTTGCATCAGTGAGTCTGTAGGCCATATATGCCTTTCTGTCCTTGTCCTAAATACCAGACCACGTCAACATCTGCACAATCTTGAAATGTATAGACATTTCCTTTATAACTTGAAATTTGTCTTTTTGGGGGGAATATCTCATGGTGTGGGAACTTCTAAGTATGGCAAATAAATAAACAAGGAAATCACCAGAGTTTGAATAGGAGCGCAGAAAATTCCCCACTAAAGCACTTTGCACCCCTGCCCTCTGAGGAGGAAAACACTCTGGCACTTTGTTGGGAGCCAGAACTTCCAAGCAGAAACATGGATCAGTTTGTAGCTATGCCATGCCACAGCCTGATCTGCTCAAGCAGCTTGGGAGCATACATGGGAGTATAACATGGGGACAGGATTGTTCTTTGGAAGACTGATCTGCTGCTAAAGACAGCAAGGCTTGTAAGTGTGTGTGATGCTCTCTAGAGGTTGCTTCAGCCTGTTCTGTACTACCAAGAGCAGTTACCAACAGGGCAGTGGGTGCACCTGTGGTTGTGTTTGGGTGTCGGAAGGGAAGTCACATTTCTGAGGTGAGGAGGAACCGTTCTTTATGGGTTTGCTATTGATTTTAGTGTCTGTGAGAACTGAGAGTGCTCTGATTAAAATGGAGGCAGGGAGGGACAGATTAGGAAAATTCAAGGTCAAATAGTTTTACTTCGGACAAAATTGATTCTTTAGCTCTTGAAAAAAGTTACGTTTTGGATTTCAAAATCAAATACACTTGAATTGATCTCACTTGCATATTTTAAAGTGATATTTTACTTTCTCTTTTGTGTTTCTGTTCAGTTGACATGAATGCAGGATACCTTATCTTGGTTGTGTAGCCTTTTAGTGGTAACGATCTACTGATGCTTTACAGCAGACTGTGAATATTGTAAATATCTTGAGATGGAAGGGTTGTGTGGGAACAAGGAAGACATTCTTTGTAAAAACACTAAAAGGAAATGGGGAAGCTGTGTCACTGGGTTGGTTGGTTTGTTTATTTCTAGAATTTTATTTAAGAGAAAAATCTCAAATCATTTGACTTTTTCAAAACTTTATGTATATCTGACTTCTCCTGTGACTTGATTATTTAAGGCATATGTATTAAAAGGTTAGAAGAACTTGACTAGAGAAAGATTGGAAATAGCAACATGTCAAATTTTTGCTGTCAAACCTTCACGTTTTTCTTTTAGAAACCTCAATCTGTCCTCATCCGCCACATTCAACTCCTGTGTATGAAAACATTTGCATTTCTCCTTTTCAGTGTTACCTGTAACATGTTAGTTTATTTCTGATCAGTATTATATTGTAAATATTACGCATTGGTGTATATAAATGATTTTACTAAACTTACTGGTGGCCTCTTTGTTTGGTCTCCGAGTCCCTTTGGCAGTGAAGGGAAGAGGATTGGGGGCGAGGGATCACCGTGCTCCTGGTGCCACCCTGAGCTTTCCCACGTCCCTTCTGCCCTAGCAGCAGTGATGTGGAGCTTTGGTTTTGTATCACTGATAGGAGAGAACGAGAAGACAGACAGGGTTTTACTCAGCCCGTGAATTCATGTCTTCTGTAAAGCTTTAACCACTGCCTGCCATCAGGTGGCAGCAGGACATCCGCCGTGCTGCGGGTTAACCCCGTTGGGGAATGGGTTTTTTTCTGGTAGCTACAGCTTCCAGGGAAGGGAGGGATGAATTATTCTGTGCTGCTGCGGTAGCACTTGGTGCTTCGTGACATTTCCCCCTGTTGAAGTCTAACAGCTGCATTCTGACAAAAGCACTCCCTGGGGCAGGAGCAATGCCTTACTGCAGGTGAAGCAGGGCAGGCACTTCTGGCAGGGCTGGCAGCTGATGGGAACCCAGGAGGGGAGAAACTGGTGGACCTTGGTTCAGGCAGAGAACAATTCCCAAATATTCCAGGAGTATTTAAAGCAGCCAAACCAGCTGCAAGAGCTCTGTGACTGTCTTCTACATGTAGAAGAGTACATGACCCAAAATATGCCTCTCCCTTTCCAGAAAAAAAAAAAAAAACCTGCCCTTGAACAATAAAACATTCAGTGATGTGCCCTGCAAAGATATCTGTCAGCATGGACTACAGGCTCTCGCCCTGCAGCTGAAACCATTAGCAACCAAATCCTCATTGTTTTCCTGGTAATCTGCTATTCCTTTCCACTGATGAATGCTTAATCCCCTTTTAAACAAATTGCCACAGCAGCACTGGCTCATCGCACTCTCAGCAAACAGGGTCAGCCTCAGCAGGATGCAGTATTTGGGGTGTATGTAATGGAGTGCTGCTCCTACCTGTGCTGACACCAGGGTCCTGCCGTTGCCTGTACTCCCCATGGAATGTTTGCGTTCAAATAGAAGCCAGACAGACACTCCCTGGGCCCTTCATTCCAGCTGACAACCATGGCTTCAAACTGGACACAACCAGGGCTTGTGCCAAGGCATGTCCCAATGGGCAGCAGGTTTCTTATTGTATTGGGCTTCTCCTTCCTGTCTGTGGGGCTCCTGCTGCTGTGTGCAGACTGCAGCCCCCAGCCCACCTGGGGCTATGCAGCCTATGAGATAGTAACTCCAAAGAAAGCTGGCTCTAAGGCAGGCAGAGCCAGCCAGGGCAGCACGTCCTACTTCATCAGCATTCAAGGTGTGGATTATACCATTCACCTCAGGCAGAAGAAACACTTTGTAATTACAAACTTCCCTATACTCACTCGTGACTCCAAAGGACAGGTGATGATCGAGCAGCCCGGTGTGCTAGCAGATTGCTATTACCACGGCTATGTGGAAGGAATCCTGGACTCCATGGTGACTCTGACCACCTGCTCTGGGCTCAGGGGACTGCTGCAAATTGGAAGCTTGAGCTACAGCATCGAGCCCCTGGCAGCTTCCTCCACATTTGAGCACCTCCTGCTGCAGAGGGAGGCGGCAGTTCCTGGGACAGTGATCTACAAAACACTCCAAGGAGGCAGGCGATTTGCAGGTCGCGGGACAGCACCCAGGCAGTTCCAGCCCTGGGGACGGACACGGTACTTGGAACTCATGGTGGTGGTGGACAAAGAGGGGTTTGACTCCTTTGGCACAAGTATAAGAGATGTGACACTAGAGGTTATTGAAATAATCAATCTGGTGGATGGACTGTTTTCCTCTGTCCGCCTTCGCGTGTTATTAACAGTACTGGAGATTTGGACAGAGAAGAACCCTATCAGTATCACCAAAAACATAACTCAGGTCCTCCACAGCTTCAATCGCTGGCGCATTCAGCATAGCCCTGCACACATCATGCACGATGTGGGGTGTCTGTTTGCCTCGCTGGACTTCAGTCACAGTACAAGAGCATTGCACACGGGCAGTGAATCAAACTTTGCCAGTGCATGCAACAGACAGCGCTCCTCTGCTGTTGTATCATTTGCAAAACAGACTTACATTGACACTGCAGTCCATGTCGCTCACGAGTTGGGATATGTCCTTGGCATGGAGCACGATGACGAACACTGCAGGTGTGGAAATGCCTCTAAATGCATCATGAACCCAAAGAGCACAGTGAGCTATAGATTCAGCAACTGCAGCACAAAATACTATTTTGATTTTATAACATCAGGGCAAGGAAAATGTCTGAATAACATTCCATCATCTATAGGGAGATTCGTACCGCAGCGCTGCGGGAACGGTATCCTGGAGGACAGGGAGGAATGTGACTGTGGCTCAGAGGAACAGTGTAAGTCAGACCCTTGTTGTGACAATACCTGTCAAAAGAAGGAAGGAGCCATCTGCACTTCTGGACAGTGCTGCAAGGATTGCAAGCTTCTTCCAGAAGGAGAAGTGTGTAGGAAGAGCATCAATCCTTGCGACCTGCCCGAGTACTGCAACGGGACGTCTGAGCATTGCCCAGAGGATGTGGCCAAGCAGGACGGAACCACGTGCGCTGCAGATGGATACTGCTATTCAGGAAAATGCAGATCTCACACATTACAGTGCCAGAATATCTTTGGTGAGAGAGCACAACCTGCTCCACTACAATGTTTCGAGGAGCTGAACACAAAAGGGGATCGATTTGGTAACTGCTGGGGAGATGGCACAGACAGCAAATTTCAGAAATGTAAGTTAGAAAACGTCCTTTGTGGGAGGGTGCAGTGTACTAATGTTAGACACCTGCCTCAGGCAGATCACTCAACCATCATCCAAACCCCAGTGGGTGATACCTGGTGCTGGGGCACGGAGTATCACGTGGGCCTGGACACCTCAGATGCTGGAGTCATTGAGGATGGCACGCAGTGCGGCGAGAAGAAGATCTGCATCAATCGGACATGTGTCCCTGAGGAGAAGTACCTGGCATCCCACTGCTCTGCCAACACCACCTGCAGAGGAAAGGGCGTTTGCAACACTAAAGGAAACTGTCACTGTGACAATGGCTGGGCACCTCCCTTCTGCCAGTATGCTGGCTTTGGAGGAAGCATCGACAGCGGGCCAACACCGGTCACGAAAAAAGGGCTTTTTAAGTCCATTGTCAGGATTACCATACTGACTGGCACTGTTCTGATACTTGCAGCACTTGCCACTGAATACATCAGAAAGTTTATGGCAATCCGACTGTTGAGCAGGCCTGCTGGACGAGGTCAGTCCAGAGAGGGGGATCCTGAGAAGGAAGAAAGTCAATCCAAATCAGCTGAGAGTCAAAACTCCCCAGTATAGGACTTGATCTGCAGCAGCTGGGCTCAGACACTGACTCCTGACACAGCTGCAGTGGACTCATTTAAAACTTATTCTATAGAAGTGTACAGTTTGGAAAGCTCAGTTTCTTTTCTGTAGGATAGCAAAATGAAATTGTTTTGATAGATGTCAGTAAGAAAAAAAAAAAAAAAAAAAAAAAACTAAAATGACAGAAGGGCTCAGGTTCATTTGAAATCCTGATAGTTTGCACAGGCAGTCATCGCTGTGAGCGATACATGGAGCAGCGAGGATCCCAGGGTGGCTGAGGCAGAGCCTTTGCTTGTACCAGTGTGTAACAACCAGAAGGATCAACACAATGGAAAGGTGATACAAGATGCGTAATGACAGAGGGACAAACCCCACAGAAAGGTGTTATAAGGGAAGGAAAAAAAAGGACTGCTCACCCATCTCTGAAGATCTAGGCTCACAGGGGAGAGATCTGCAGAAAGAGATCCTTCCCCAGTGGCAGTCAGCCTTAAACGAGGTCTAGGAGAGTGCAGGCAGCCTCCAGCCCTTCTGATCACACACATGAATTGCCTCCACCTGCACTCCCAGGGCTGACCTGGTCCTTTCCCCAGCTGCTCAATCTGTGTTTCAGGCCAGGACTCAGCAGTTCCCATTCAGCTGTGTACGAAAAGCACAGGCTGGCTGTGCAGGGGTAACCCCAACCTGTGCCCTGGGGGTGCTGTTTGCAGCACGGGTCTCCAACGTGGGGTGTTTTAGAAGTACAGCAGAGCAAGCACACAATTTACAAATAAATAAATATGGGTATGTTGGGAAGGAGCTCCCAGGAAACCTATACCGATAGGGCTGTGTGATAAAGAGGGCTGGAGACCACAGGTTTACAGACTGGCAAAGGAGTCGAGGCAATGAATCAGGCACAGAACGGCTCAGGTTGGAGGGGCCGTTAGAGAGCAGTGCTGTGGGAGCAGGCTGCCACATCACAACATGGCGGCCGGGAGTGATGCGGCCTTTCCGGAACCTTCTTAAGGGAGCAGCCAGGCGCCATCTCTGAGAGCCTTAAGGGTGAGGAGATGGAGATGCTGGTGACAGGGGTGGCCTTTGTGAGGTGCTTCACCTCCATTTTGAAGGTGGTGAGATGGTTCCAGGCCCCCGGGACAGCACTGCTCCTCAGGCTGAGGGTCTGGGTGGTGCTGGGGGCTCTTCTCCTCCCTGAGGTGGGCGGCCATCACCCGCCGCCCGGTTACGCCGTCCATGAGATCATCCGGCCGAGGAAACTGGTCCTGGCAGCAGGCAGGTCAGCACAGGGAGAGGTGTCCTACATCATCAGGGTAGAGGGCGAAAACCGCATCGTCCACCTCATGCAGATGCGAGGACCGGTGGTGAACAACCTCCCGCTCATCACCTACAGCCCCCGCGGGATGAGGGTGGTGGAGCAGCCCCACGTCCCTGAGGGCTGCCACCACCTGGGCTACGTGGAGGGCAGCCCCGGCTCCACGGCAGCGCTGAGCACCTGCGCGGGGCTGAGGGGACAGCTGAGGATCGGGAACCTGAGCTACGGCATCGAGCCTGTGCCGGGCTCTCTGACCTTCCAGCACCTCCTCTATCGACGAGAGAGCTGGGACAAGTCCTCGGCATGTGGCTTGACGGACATAGCCATGCGAAAGCAACCAAGCTGGATGGGGGCAAAAAAACCCTTAGGGAAGCAAAGCTTGGATCAGAGGCTGCAGCACACCAGGTACGTGGAGATCTTTGTCGTGGTGGACCACCAGCTGTTTACCTTCCAAGGGAGCAATGAAACCTCTGTGATGTTTCTGGTTATTGATACGATCAATTTATCAGAAATACATTATTATCCTCTGAAGATCCGCATCTGCCTAATTGGGCTGGAGATCTGGACGCGCAGCAACTTCATCAGGTACAGCCCAGATATAGAAGAAGTTCTTACCAATTTTAATGACTGGGGAAATAGGTATCTTTCCCATAGGATCAAATACGACATTGCACATCTTTTCACTTACACAGACTTTGGACTCACCGTTGGGCTGGCGTATGTAGGCAGCATCTGCTACCCTGGCTACCAGTCAGGTCTTGTATCTCACATACAAGAAGATTTTGTGATCTTTGCAACTATTTTTACCCACGAGCTGGGTCACAACCTGGGGATGGAGCACGATAGAAAGGAGTGCAGGTGTGGAAATGCCAAGTGCTACATGACAGGAGGTTCAATCGACGGTGCCACGGCTTTCAGCAACTGCAGCATTCAAAGCTATTTAGACCTGCTCAACAGAGGGGATGGCAACTGCTTAAACAACATCCCCGAGCCCAACAGATTGTTCTACTTTAAGACCTGTGGCAACAAGGTGATAGATGAGGGAGAGCAGTGTGACTGCGGGGGCCTGCAGCACTGCCAAGGCAATCCTTGCTGCTTCCAGAATTGCAGGTTGAAGCCGGGGGCTGTCTGCTCTGTTGGGCAGTGCTGTCAAAAGTGCCACTTTCACCCTCCAGGGCACAAGTGCAGGTCAGAGGTAGATGAGTGTGACTTGCCTGAGTATTGCAATGGGACTTCTGAGTGGTGTCCAGAGGATTTGCACATGCAAGATGGGACGCCCTGTGGTGACAACGGTTACTGCTACCGTGGGAAATGTGCGTCCCATGACAAACTATGCAGAAAAGTCTTTGGGGATGAAGCCCGGAGTGCTCCAGAAAGTTGCTTCAAAGAGCAGAACATGAAAGGGGATCGATTTGGCAACTGTGGCGGCGATGGGAATGAAGTTGCTTTTGTGGAATGTAAGCCCCAAAACGCTCTGTGTGGAAGGCTGCAGTGCGTGAATGTAAAGAAGACAGCCTTTCTGGAGAAGTCTGAAACCATCATTCAGACTCCAGGGCCTGAGGATTGGTGCTGGGGCACAGCCCACCATGCTAGCATAGATACACCTGATATCGGAGGAGGAATTGACGGCACCAAATGTGGTCCAAAGAAGATCTGCATTAACAAAACATGCACAGATGTCATCGTCAGAACCAAGTGTGATGCAAAGGTTTTGTGCAAGGGGAATGGGGTTTGTAACAACCTTGAACACTGCCACTGCAAAGCTGGCTGGGCCCCACCAGACTGCCAGTTCCATGGCCTCGGGGGCAGCATGGACAGTGGTCCTCCACCAGCTCTCATGATCTCCATTGCAGAGGCTGTCCAAAATAAAGCTTTTGGGACTGCAATAGGAATCACTGTTCTCATTGCCCTCGTTCTAGTTGCTCTCCTCATTGCTGCAATCAAATACATCAATGTAATAATTACACTTTTCTGTACAAATTCATCCATAGAGACACCTGAAACTCCTGAAAATGAGGAGCAGAATATGGAAGAAGAAGAAGAAGAAGAAGAAGTTTAAAAAACCTGAAAGCACTGGGAAACTCATCAGCTGAGCTTTGGGAAGGACTGAGGGGCTCTGTGCGTACATCCCTGAACCCTGACTGACAGTCCCAGATTTGTACAAAGTGATTTATGTAACGTAACTGTGTGAACTGTATAAAAGTTAATTACACAAAGCTTGAGTATTTCCTCTTCTTGTATAACCAACTATGTAAATAAATTTCGGTTGGGCCCTAAAAATGAAACTGTGAGAAATTAAAGAGCATGAAAAATACAGGGTCGTTTTCCTCTCACTGCAGCTAAAGATACATTTACGGGATCTCAGTAATTTACCTGAGCGTTTAGAGGAGCACACACAGATGCACGTGCAGTCCTGCTCTCCAGGTTCATGAGAGGTGCTCCGCTGGGCTGAAGAACCTTAATTTTCTGAGTGTTGTGGCCAAGCAGGAGTTGGCATGAAGGGAGATGTGAGAAAAATCAAAGCACAGAAGTGTGTGCTGATGATTGGGTCACCAAGGTTGGAAAATGTCTCTAAGATCATCCAGTCCAGCTCTGCAGTCTTGCTCCAGGCAGCTGGCTAGCAGGAGGGTGCCTGCTCTTATTTTTACATTGAATTGAAAGATGGATTTAAAAATATTCATCTTTGCTTTAATGTTAATTTGTAATGGCAAATACCTGACAAACACTTAGAAAAGTAAAACATCTTTTGACCACATGCCCTCTAAGGAGCTGTACTAGTCTTGGAGTTGTTACATACAATTTGCTGTATTTCTAGAGATATTTCCTTAAGGAGAAAGCCTGTGCTAAAAATTTACCAGGTTTAAAGAACCCTGTTCAAGTCCATAGAAATCTGTAAAATAAATAACTATCTTCACTAAAAGTGCTTTTCTGACAGATCTGCTTGGGCTCTCATAGCACTACAGTTAACTGTGCTGATGACAAAACAGTTCACACCAAGACAGCCCAAAAGCTGTGCTGGCTGACTTTGCTAAAATACGACGAGGCCCATTGGGATGCTGCCTTCTCTCATTTTTGCTGCAGAAACTCATCAGAGCAGGGTAGATGTGGACACCTCAGTGTCCGGAGGGCTGGCAGTGAGTGTGCTGGCATAGAATTTCTTCTGAGAGCGCAGGAGAGGAGTCTGAGTGTCAACGTCGCGGCAGATGTTGCGTTTGAGGGAGAGGAAGACGTGCTGTGTCCAGCCATACACAATGCAGTTCAGGAGTCCCTGGGAAGCTGCTGTCAGTGCCTGGTAGAGATGGCAAGGGAGATCAGGGCTGCTTTGTCAGCTGGCACTGCACAGCATTCAGCAGCTCCCTGCCAGGCTGTCAAAACTGGGACGTTACTCCAGGCCTCCCACTTCCAGCATGACTTTATCTATCTGCAGCCCCCATGTGCTATAGAAATCTCATGGTTATTTTAATAATCCCTGCTAAATTCTGCCTCCGGCACATCAGACAGCTGGACAAGTGCTGGGGAGGAACTGCAATCAGAGTCTCAGAGAAAATGAAAAATGTAACTGAATTCTGAGGAACTCTTCTAGTCCTTTTTAATGAGATCTCCATGATAGTGTGATTTTGGTTACTGAGACCTTTTCAAGTCTGCAAAAAACATAGCAACCAAGAAAGAACTTCTTTGCCAACAAAAAGCAGAAGTTCAACTCAAGCATTTACATTCATAGCTAGAAAAGCCCTGTTTTGTCGAGCAGAGATTAGAAATAACAAACACTATTTCATCTGTTCAAGCAGAGAAAGCAAATCATCAGAGGGTGAAGTTTGTACCTGTAGAATGAGAAGAGCCATGTAGATTTTGCTGCTTGTTGAAGCTGTCAGCTTCAGTATTCCAAGGAGGACAGCTGTGAGAAAGGATTGACAAAAGGGTGTTGCTTTAACCTCACCTGCTTCAACTTTCGTTGCCAGGCACTGTGTCTCAGGAGAATACTGTCACTGTAACTCAGCTCACTGCTAACCTGGGGCCCAGCAGCAGAAGAATGCGATGGGGTAAAAAACCACTCGTTGTTCCACCATCTTAATCATTGCCCACTGCTGATCTCCCAGGAATCCCGTGGAGTTTACAAACCTTTTGTACAAACCTCGGGCTTGAATGAGTACAACCTGAAAAGAATAAGCACACATTCTTGCTTGTGTTTTGAACACATGCTCAGATCTCACTTGCCCCTCTGCAGAACAGAATATCTTATGTTTTTTGGTGAAATCCTCAACGTCAGTTCTATTAAACCTCTTCACACTACGCAACATTGTGCTTCTGAGGAGAAAGTGATCTCTGAACTGAGAACTCTTCATTGATTGGTCTCTTGCACTGAGCTGGCACGCGATTCTGTAAGCCTCCTCTACCTACTGAGTCCTGTTTGAGATGGGCTGCTCCAGATGGATTTATATTTTCTCTTACCCTCCAACCATTCCAAAAGGAAAGCAGCACTGCACAAATTTTCTCCCCACACTGTCTGGCTGACGATATCATTCAAGCAAACTTGGCAGACTGAGAAACATCTCGCATGGAAAGCAATCTGTGACTCATGTAATGATGAAATGAAGTAGAACTTCTCACACTATCCAGCTTGTGCAATGGCTAGCATGCAAGGATTATGTTTCTTACCAGAATGGCTATGAAGCTGATAAGAAAGGAAACAAGGAAGACCCCAATGCCATAGAAATGCATTGCTCGGCAAACAGAGCTGCTCAATGTTAGCGGCTCGTTGGTGGGCTCAGCCATTTCTGTGTGCATCAAGAGACACCTGTGGGGAGAAAGGGAGCAGCCTGAGCTCTTGCCATGACTCAGAAGTGGTGAGGCTGTTTCAGAGAGAAGCATGAGACTTACCCATGCTTTTGACTGAAGTTCTGGTAGCAGTTACTGCTGTTGCCCAGGCAAAACACAGGCACCATTAGGAGAAAAGGGATCAGGCTAAGAGAAGAGAGGACAACAGCACAGTTACTGCATTGCAATGCACTGCTGCCAGCCAACCAATCCTTGTTCTTTCTTCTGTTACTGCAGAGGACTTAGAAATTCTTTTTATTGACATTGCTCTAGAGGATTATTTTACCAACTTTGCTAATTTCCACACTTCATTCATACAGGCAATTGGCAAAGGTAGCACACTCTAAAAAAAGACTATATGTAGTTAATATAGTTATAACTAACTTGGCTGGAAGAAGGCCCTTACATCCAAAGACTCTTGCTCTGAGCATTCAGTAAAGCTCACATCAGAGTAAGTACAAAGCAGGATCAGTGCATTATAATTTACCAAACACATCATTTTGCCAGAGGGAAATGAATCTTACCTGGACAAAATCGTTGCTACTCGGCCAATGCAACTTGCATAATCTACAGCCTGCAAAGTCCAAATAGTTTAGTTAAATGATTGTACAGCCAGTGGCTCCCAGCAACCAGCTCCTAGGGAGCACTCCAGCAGCTCCAGGTTCTAAAGTGCTGATAAATGCCCACGCTAAATACAAATGTTTGTTTCCACTTCGTATTGAATCAGTACTGCAGGGCTCAGTGAATGCTGACGTGCAATAGACACAAGCTACACTTCCACAAGCTTACTGACATGTCCTTCTTCAAAATGTGGGAATTGGAGGGGGAAACTTTGAACCAGACAAGTAGCAGACACTGTATGAGCTCCTTGGTGTAAATAGTCATTCTTTGTACTCCTTATTCATCCAACCTGGCCCTGTTCTTCAGAAACTTCATGCTCTGATGAAGAAATGCAGGCAATTTGGATGTCCCGGTCTCAGCTCACCAGGAAATGTACTTTGTCAGCTGGCATCCATGCACCAGCTGTGAGAGTACAATGTGGGCACAGCTGTAGTGCTAGGGAACTCAATGTAAGTGCTGCATTTTGAATGGGAGTCCATCAAGAAAGAAACCAATCCTACAAGTAGATCCAAACAAGACCCTTTGAAATGCAGACTGATCTGTCCCACCTGCTTCTCCTGCACAGACAGATGGAGTACCTGAGACTCAAAGTTTGCTGTGTACAGTAAATGTCTGGGGAAGAGGAAGGGTATAGGCAGGGCTGGGGCTGATGTGTTCAATGGGAAGAGCTGCATAAAGAGTCTGTTGTCCTGCAGCAGTATAACAGGAAGAATTTCAGTTACAGAGCAACTGTTTAGCCAGGTGTGAGGAATGAAACAACTGCAAGTAGAGATTTTGATCACATGGCGTGTGAAGTGTTTGTTTAGCCTGTAACTCAAAGAGCGTATTTGAGTACTATGTCCTTGTTCCTCAGTTCCCAGTGATTAAACCAGCTCCAAAATGGGCTTTTATAAAGGTCAGTGATGATGAAGTCTGGACCGCCCATTCTTCATGGAGCCAACTCACTCCTTTATCAGCAGCTCCCTTCTGTCACACCTACCTCAAACTCTCAGAATACACTACTGACATTCTTGAATTCTGTATGACATCTGGGGAGGACAGAAATTGCAGTTCTCTGTTCCAAACTGTTCAGGTCCCTGCTGCTCTCCTTTACTCTAGAGAACCATTCCTCTGCCATGCCCTGGCAGTAGGCAGCGAAAGCAATAAACTGTTTATTGAACTGGTGCAAGCTGCTGTTCTGCAGAAGAACTCCACCAATACACAGTCCTCAGCTTCCTCTTCTCTGTGACATGCACTGACAACTGCTTTTGCCCATTTCAGTCTTGCAAGCTTAATCTTTCACTGAGATGCTGTAGCAGACTGAGCTGTATCTGCTGACCTAAGCGGTCCACCAAGACACATCAGTTCATACAGTCACAGGGCAGAAGGACCTTCAAAGTCCTTCTGACAAGATAAACTGTCATACATACACTTCTTAAACCCCACACAGTTATACCTCAGTACCCAACAGCTGTTGTGCATTATCATCCTACTTACTGTGGAGGGCATCCTATTAAGGTTCTGATTGTATTTCATCTTCAGGTCCATGTACAGATGCCAGGTGTAGTTGGCAGTGTATAGAAAAGAGGCCACATAGAATACCTGAGAAATAGAAACAACCAGTATTTTAGCTCTATAATAATAGTTCCTGTAGCAGCATTAGTTCCTCAACAATGAAGCATGGGCCAAAGGCAGGACATTAAGGCAAAGGTGAGGTGCCCAACCAGCACTGGTGTGGGATGAATGTGCAGGGGTTCTCACCTTAGCCTGCACAAAAGCAATTTTCCTTTGGCCCTACATCAGGGACACGAAAGCTGATGACCCAAGGACTATCTTGTAAATACCTATCTTTGTGACTTGGCTCATTTTTGGCTCAAATTCTGACCATATAAAATGGGTTAAGGCACTTTGATCTTCTTTATTTTACATCCATTAGGAAATACAACACAGATGCGGCACTTAGATTTTGTAACTCATGTAATGAGCTCACCATGCAGTGAATTCACAGAAACAGAAAACAATAGTATTTTTAAAGAGGAAAGAGGGGGCAGAGGATACAATGCTTTCACAGTAAGCGAACATTAACAAGCTAAGAGCCCTTTTCCCTCTGTGGGAGAAAGAAGGAAAGAAAAGATACAAAAACTGTTTCCCCACAGTGAGTTTCCCAGCCCCCTGACTGAAGCTTGAGATGAAACCAAATACCTGAAATCTTCTGTAAAAAGAACAAATCTTTCTTGTGCTTTTTCTGAATCCCCAGCCATGGTTTCTCCAGGCAGTCAAGTGCAAACAGCGCTGCCTGACCTCGAGATATATATACGCGTGTGTTGTTTGCTACAGGAAACACATGCTTCAGTGACAAAGGCAAAGAGGAAGGGCTGGGCTACTGAATTTTCCTGTGGATTTTCTACCCTTTGCCAAAGAAGCATGGAGCACAGGTTTGCCAACCTGGTATCATCTAAGTCCAGGAATGCAGTCACTAAATAAACCTGGTCTCCTTCACTGAGGTTGCAAACACTCTCGGCTGATTCTCAAGAGGCTCTGTCCAAGGGGCTGTTAGCACTACAGCAGGAATATTCCGGTGACTCATTTGCTCATTAGAGGAGATTTAATGAGGGTTCATTGCCATTCTTCAATTACTTCCAGAGAAAGTCATCAAAACAGTCCACAAAGATAATTCTCTTGCACTTCAAAACGCTTTGGAGAGCTCAAAATGTCAGCACTGCATTCTTTTTTGGAAGAAGGAACTTGTGAAGTCTCCAGAAAGAAGAGAAGGGAGTTCTCCTCCCCTGAGCCCTACCTTGGGCTGGGGACAGTCCTGGAGGAGGAGACAGAGCAGGCGCTGGGAGACATGGAAGTCCCTCATTATAACATTTCTGTGGCTCGCCATTGTGCTCAGCAACATGAGTGGAGCTTGCCAGGACATTATTAGGCCACTGGAACTGAACTGGAAGAATGTGGGGGAATTGTGCAATTATAACCACAATCTCTGCTCTGAACTTCAGTATTGCAATGCAAAGGCAAAGTAAGGAGGAGAAAAGAAGAAAGTCAAGGCATAGCAGAAGGGAGCACTATTTACATTTAATATCGTGAGTTTAACCAAGAGTCTGGAGCCAAAAAAAAGTCTTTGAAATAAAGCCATCTCCTCCTTTACAAGAGGTAGAGATGCTAAGGGAATTCCATCAGCAGGAACTTCAGTCCTTGGTAATAAACTGAAGGTCAACAGTTTGCATAAGCCAGAATACTGTCCTGCTGCTAAGGAAATGCTTCCAGACAACCAAATCATATGCAGTATGATGTGGTTCTCTGTAAACATGAGTGCTAAGCTCCCCTGGCTCACTGCATTTTACAGAGTTTAGGTGTCTGTGTGCAAACAAGCCACATGTATATATGAGACACCCAGGAGTGCAAGCCTTGTAAGACTTCTCCTCTCCAGACAGGCAGGACAGGGCCAGGAGACATTTATTCACATTTCATTTAGTTACAGATCACTTATACTCTGTAGAAGGCACCAGTCAAACCTGTTGCTGGCTCCTACATATGCACAAGATGTTCCCACCACACAGGAGCATTGCTGGGGTGTTGAGCAAGGAGGTGTCCTCTACCATGTCACATGCACCATGCGGGTGCTGTTGCTATGGCAAGTGCTCCATTTGTTTTAATTTCTCACAGAGCAAACAGCAGCAAGAGCTCCTGCCAGATGCACGCTATCTCAGCTGTCCTGCTGCTGAGGACCAGTTACCCTGTGGCTGAGCTTGGGATGGGGCAGGCACCCCACACACCCCAGCACTGCACCCTGACAAGTCCTGCAAAGACTCCGTAGGAGTAAAGATCCCTCCCTTCACCAGTGTCCCTGAAAAGCTTGCTCACAGGCAGAAAAAATAAGGGTAAAAAAGAGCCAGAAAGGCAAGAGAGCACAGCATGCTGTGTCACCACTGAGAAATGATGCTACGTTGTATGCAACCAACCTCCTTCTCCTCCAGCACTGAAATGTCTTCTCCAGGCTTTAAGAACATCACTCCAGCACTGAACTTCAAGAACTGTCCCCCAGGCAAAGCTACAAGGGAAACATCTCTGCTATGCCTCTTCCACATCTCCGCAGGCTTTTTCTACCTTCAGGCTCTGAAAAGCCTCTCTTGAACTATTCTCACTTTCCCCTCTACCATCGTCTGAAAGATATCTTTGATATTGCTCTGCCTCATTCTCAAATGGCCAATTGCACCATTGCTTCTCTTAGAATGAACATACTACATTGCTTCCACAGCAGCACAAGGGAGCTTGAGAAAGCAGAGATGAGCCAGAAGAGGAACAGCTGCTGTCTGAGCACAGCACTCACCACCATGAGTAACAAGATTTCACCCAAAGGCACAGCTGCTGAAAATATCCCAGGGCAGCAAACACCCATCCCCAAACACAGAGCAGTTGTGATTGTTCTCACACCATACAATTCCCTGTCCTCTCTTTAGGAACACAGAGAGCCTTGCTAGCTTTGGATGCTACAACACAGCAGATACAGTTCCTATCTGTGGGTACCACCCTGCTCCAAGGGGCTGGACCAGCCCTCACAACACACACACAGGCTCCCAACAGCCACTTGCTCTTCCTAGACACGTTTTTGTAGGTACTTTGAAAGAAAACCATTAAGACCAGGGACCATCTCTTACAAACCAAAGCTGTGGTCCACACTCAGCTGTGCCCTGAAGAATTTTTCAAGAGCAGTGATATGCAGCACCTAATGTGGTAATGGGAACTTGGTGAGACGAAAGCAAACTATCAGGAAAATGGCATTTCACTCATTCCACTCCAATTAGGCTCAGAAATCAGCTTGAATGCTGGAAGTGAATCGCTGGGGCATGGTGCTGAGGTTGAATGGACACAGCAGTCCCTGAGCATCCACATGACCTAGTCAGTGAGAAGATAGGTCACAGCTCTTCGACTAACATGTTAAGCTTTAGCCTAAGTGAATGGCACAATGCATCTGTTCCTGCCCAGAATGGGAGAAGCACGAAGAGGAATTGAAAAGCTGCAGTATGGGAAGCACGCAGATAATCTTTGGCACTGGGCCATCAGGAAATAGATAAAGATCTATCTACTCACTTTACAGAAGCTATCCAAACACTGTAACCACAACATCCCATGCTCTCCTTGCCTTTCTTACTGCCTCTCGCAAGTCACTCGTACCCACACCCTAGCACTGTAATATCTCTTGTACAAACAAAGAGATCTGCTAAGCCAAGTTCACAGGGGGATCCTGTGCCAAAGCCTGTCTCGAAACAGTCCCACAGGCCATGCTGTGATCACTGGGGGACTGACTACAGCAGTGAGCACAGCGTAAGAGCACAAACTGTGACGCCAAGGCTACTTACTTGTCCCATTGCCTGCAGGTTGTAGCAGATGAGATCGTGCTTGGAGGTTGGTGTGCTATAAAGCAGTGCTCCGGCAATCCAGCACATGCCCAGAAATAGGTCAGAGAGACTCAGGTAGAATAGAGGGCGAACCTGAAAGTTAAATTGCAGTTAAATCAGCAGGTTTGAACAATGGTCACAGCAGCCCCGTGGCCACCAACAGCATCTAGATGTGTTTTCACCCCCAGTTCTGTAGGCAGGGCAAATAAAAGCCCTCTGATTCTTGCCCTGAGGAGCTGCTTCTGTGCAGATGCCCTGTTCTAAATGCCTTCTCTGCCCCACGATCCACAAGCACCATCAAACCTTAACAGAAAACATTTCAAAGGTCCCCAGTGCTACACTATGGCAGAATGAGACAGGTTCGCAGGGAGAAGTGACGTTGTTATGAAATCAACTAAAAGAACAATCAAACATCAGGTAAACACAATCTCTTCTTCAGATGTGAAATTACTCAAAACAGACATTTTTCCTTTGTTTTTATGACATTTCAGTTGATGACTAAGACTGAATGTTGTCACACATTGCTCGCATGTGCTGCTGCATCTGCCTGGAACAGAGTCACACCTCCTCTAAGGGCAGTTTCCACCCTACTTCCAGTTTCCACTCACTGGCCAAAAGGGCTGTAAACACTGCAGGAAAATATTTGTGCAAAGTTCTAGCCAACACTGACATTGTTAGGGGTAGAGCACACACTCTGGAAAAGCAGCCTAATTATCTAGATTCTTAATTGTAGTCTTTGGTACCTAATTTTCAGTAACCTGGAGAGAAAATGATGGCTTCTTTCCTTCCCTATACGAAATTATAACACTAAACACACCAAGGAAAACATTCCAGCAGGGCTTGATTTTGAATTTTTTTTCATGGAACTGAGCCTTTGGGTGAAATTTGCTTCAGTGTTGTTCTTTACATAAATGCTTGCCACCCATCGTGTTGTTACACTCCTCACTGCAAGTAAGAAGAAAGAGCTCAGTAAGGCTGGAAAGGACCAAGGCACAGCTGACTGAAGCAGAGCTGTCCTTCTGGCAGTTTCAGGGGCAAATTGCCTGGTACTTTCTGGGCTCCCCATTATACTCAGCAGCACAGCAGTCCTCTGCTTCCTGCAGGATGTGTTTCCTCAAACAGCCTTGCATCTCCAGTTCTGAATTCATACTACTCAACACAGCAACATGGTAAATATAGCTCTGGAGCTAGCTTCTGCATCACTACATTTACAAATGTCTCTTTTAACCAGTGGTAAATCCAGACTTTCCCTTGCTGGTGCAGAACTGAAGCACTGGCAGGCAGAGGATGGCAGGTTGGGAAGCTTTAAGGTTGTGAGCACTGCAGGTTAGAGCCAAGCAGCTCTGAAATAAGAAAAGCAGCAACATTTGCATCCACACAGGTGAGCCCTTTCTCTAGCAATACGTGTTCTTGGTGAGAAGCACCACAGATGGCTGAGGAGCTACCTTGGCAGAGACCTGAACAAAGGAGTAGGTCGCACAGTTGTAAGCAAAAAGCAACATGGTTCTTATTTGCAAAAGGGAAAAAAACCAACCAAACAAATGGTATTTATAAAATAGAGGAAGGGAATGTAAAGACGTAATGATTCAGGGGAGCTGCCAAGCTGGAGCATACGTGTTGATCTTGCTATGCCTGGCCACTGCCCAGAGGCATCTGCCTGCAGAGAACCTGTTGACATGACAGAGGAAATTCCACGTTCATTGCCTGCCATCATTTCTTCTGAATGATTTAGCTCATGCTGAAGTTTTATTGACTTCATAGATACAAAAAAAAAAAAAAAAAAAAAGTTTCAAGAATGCAATATTTTATTTCCTCAGCTGGGGGTTGGAGGGGGAAGTGTTTATAACATTTTTCTCCTCCCAGCCTCCAGAGCTGTTTATATTCTACTCTGGAGTCTCATGACCCAGGGAATATTCAGTTTGTGGCAAGCTTTGATATGGATTTCTTCCAGCCCCTTTGTTTGCAAATCTGCCCATAAAACCAGAAGTGTGGGGACAAGAGGATGGGGAAGTTAGTGAAGAGTTTGCTGTTTTTTAAACACCAGCAGTGGATCCCCCAGCAGCAGAACAAGAGCTTGGAAGCCTGATGTAAAAGGGGTCATTCTGGCTGATATCCACCCTATCCAGATTTGCAATAATAATCTGAGCAGAAACATCTGTAGTCTCTTGAGCAGCAACAGCTCATCTGTGAATTGGAGCCATGTGTAATTCACAAGCAGTGAGAGCCACAGACACATCATATGACCAATAAATAGCACGAGGACTCCTGAGTAATGCGGACTGGAAGTCAATGGGCTGGGGCTGCTGAGTCCCTCTGGGACCCTCACCCAGCACCACACGGGAGGATCTCAAGAGCCACATCCAGTGCTCTCCAGGTGCAGGCAATGTGTCAGCAGCTCTTAACTGAAGGAGCTTTTGATAGGCACCAAGTGCAGCATGAAGTCAGGAAGCAACCGTCCTAGCACCAAGGCAGAGATCCAGCTCTCCTTCCTCAATGGGAGTACCCTGAGATCTCTGCAGCTCGTTCTGGATGTGCTGGGCACACTGTTTCTGTGAGGCTCTGGCTACCTAGGAGCAATCTGCCTTGGACATACATTCTGCTCCCCACCCTGCTTCATCCAGTGGCATGTCATTTGTTAGCCTGTCTGCATGCCTTCCTTCACGGAGGATAATTTACTGCATTCCCTGCAGGTCCTTGACTGTGGGCTGATGATCAAACCCACGCTGAAGACAAGGGGAGTATAAAGACAGCTCTGTTACAACGCAGCTGCCAGCTGTACCATTCTACTGCTCTTAGCAGTAACCTGTTATCTGCATGGTCCACAGACCAGGCTGCAAATCCCAGACAAAGAACCATAGCTTCACACAGCTCTGTGCACTGCCTCAGGTCCTGGATGGACAGAGGGGGATTTACATGGACAGAAAAGCGTGGCAGGCTTGGGATGGAGACTGTTGTGACTGGTCTATCCTGGATACACAGGATCCCAAAGTGTGATGCACTTGGGACGTGACAGGTGCTGCTCTGGCATTAGAAATGCTAACTGTTCCTGCACACGGCCAAGGTGAAATCTTTCAAAGCTCAGCTGAGTTTGTCAGCACAACAAACTGCTGTTCAGTCCAGTCTAGTTTAGCCTGAACTCTGCAGCACCTCTGAGCTGTGCCAGTTTCAGCAGCACACCCGCCTGCGAAAACAACTCAGAAAAACCCACAGACAGACCCCTATCCCTGCATCTCCTATGAGATTTACACCCCAGCAGCTCTGTGCACAGCTCCTCATCCCTCCATGAGTTTTGCCCTGTAAAGGAGAGCACACCAACAAAACCTCATTCCCAAGAGAGGACTCAGGTGGTGTTAAGGAACCCACTTCTCCCTGCGCAGCACAGCTCAAGGTTAATCTCAAACCTGCACTATGGACAAAGGGTCACGCTCTGCAGCAGCCCTTTGCCTCCCAGCTGCCGTAAACAAGGTTTAGCCAGAAAAAAAACATGATGTGCAAGGTGCCAGCAGCTCAGCGTGGAGAGAATAAGGGCTGCAGTCAGGAGTTGGACTTAATGATACTCATAGGACTCTTTCAACTCGGGTATTCTGTGATTTATAGTCCTTACCTCGGGGGATCGCACCACGTTTTGAAAGATGGCGTAAGTGATGATGGAGCTGGAACCTATAACACTGACAGAACAAAGCACAGGTTGGGATGGGAACATGCTCACGGCCGGGATACACCATCTCCCTTCTTGCTGGGGCCCGTCCGTTGTACCTGAGCATGGCCATGGTGAAATGGATCCACTGGAGAGCTGAGTAGACCTGGGGGAGAACCAGAGAATGAGCCGCGAGGGAACACAGCGTCCACACGGCACCCCGGCCCTGCTTTAAGGGCGTCGTCCGAGTTCCAGCAGCTCGGGAGGAGCTCGTTCCGTGCCCACCGCCCCCCGTGAAGAACCTTTTCGTCACGGAGAGCCGCACGGAGCCCGGCAGCCCCTGCACAACTCTCTCTCGCAGCCCACGACAGCTGAGAGAAGGGCCGTCCGGGCGCGCTCACCTCCTGCCAGCCCGACTCCAGCCGGGACGCGGCCGCCTCCGGGCTGGCCATGGGCACCGCCGCCGATCCCCGCGCAGCTCTCGGGGCTCCGAGCACCGCCCGCGCTCCGCCCCGGGACCACACCGCGCCCCCGCCCGGCCCCGCCTTCGGGGCCGCTTAAGAGCTGGGCAGAAGTCCGGGAATAGCGGTGCGGGGAGCTGTGCCGCAGAGCGGAGCTCGCGGAGATCCCGAACTCTTGTCGTCTCCCCTCCAGCAGCCGACCGGGGGCGACCCTGCTTAGCTTCGCCACACCGCCCCCCCTCGGAGCACATGGGCGCAGCGCGCCCCATCCCTGCCGGCTGCGCTGATGGCGTCACGAGAGGCCGTGGGCGGGAACGCGTTTGCGAGCTGCGCGCGCGGGCGGCGGCAGCTGAGGGGGCGCGCGGCGGCCGTTGGCGGGAGCGCTGAGGGGGCGCGCGGGCTCCGTCGCCTCAGAGGTCCTCGAGCTGAGGCAGCAGCGCCTCCTCAGGAGCCTCAGCCAGCCTCACCTTCCCACCAACCCCGCAAACCAGCAGCCGTTCCTTTAGAAAAAAGCGGTTTAAGCAGCGGCTATTTGTTGGAACCAGTTTTTATTATTATCATCAGAGCAATATTAATACATTTCGTCTTGCAGCTCTTCATCCCCACCCCAGGATTCAAAAGGCAGCAAAGCTCCCACAGAAACCAATTTGCTTAGCAGAAAGCACAGTCTCAAGGTAAAACGTGAAGGTGTTTGACTGTGATCCTGACAGAGCTTTTAAGGAAAAGCTTTTAAAGGAATTAATGCTTTTTTCTTCCTGTCGCAAGACCTCATTTTTTAAATAGTTTTAACTCTGCCAAGGGCTGCTGAAGCTTTAGTTTCACAGTGTCATTCTGAAGATCAGGCTGGAGAAAGTATTTTCTTTGTGTTAGCGACCACTTGGAACTGTTAAATGTCCCTTTGTGTCTCCTGTTCTAATTCATGAGGCGAAGTTTGGACAGGAAGAACAGTCAAAAAAGCATCAGATGCCTTCAGCCATGGGAAAACTCACCTGAATTTAATCTGCCACTGGAAAAAAGCATTTTTGCACAAATGGGTGAGCCCAAATGTAACTGCAGCTGGAGGAAACCTCAGTGCTCAGACCTGGCTCTGTCGGGTACCACAAAGGGGTTCTGCTGCAGCAGGACAAGCTGTGATGTGCAGATCAAACCCTCAGCCCAACAGCCTCGGGAAAAGGCAGAAGGAAATGGCAGCTCTCAGTCAGCAGCAGGTAAGGACAGGACTCAGAGAAAACCCCACCGGGGAGAAAGAGGGAGGGATGAGGGGCGAACAGAACAAAACCCAGGAACACTAAAAGGCAGGGACAGGTGGGCATGGCAGGGGCATCACCTCTGACCTTTGGAAACATGGAATGTGAGACTGAATTTTGTCATTGGTTTGCCAGGGAACAGATGTAAAAACCACCGGGAATGTGCTCCGGGCCAATATAGTGATTTTTTTTTGGTCTATTGTAACACTGTTATTTAATAATATTTCACAGTACGGCAGCTTGCTTTAAGGTGTGTTTCCCAACACGCAGAATACTGGTTTTGAGGCATTGCTTCCTCTTGATCTCATAACTGAGGATTCAAGGACGTCTGCTGTTCTCTTGAAGTCAGCGGGAAGTTTGCTTGCACTGGGAGAACTGGTTAGGACTTGACAGTGTTTCACAGCTTGTACAAAGTTCCCCAGCATATCAGAGCTCATCTTTTTCATTATTCTTCTTTAGGAAAGAAGCGAGGATATTGAGGCTTTTCTGGAGCTCCTCCTTTTTTCCATCACTCATTTTGTTCTTCTCGATCAGTTTTGTGATTCGGACAACTTCGTTAGCAGCAAACTCTTCTCCCTGCTCCAATATCTTGCTCATAATTTTCAAGTATTGCTCAGCTGACTTCTTCTCGGTTTCCTTTGCTTTCTCTAAGCTCTGCTGCCCCTTCTTTAGGAGGGACTGGCGTTCTGACTTGTCAGTGACACTCATAAACTTGCTGGCCAGCACATCATACTCCTTCAGACAGCCTGGCATCCCCAGGTAGATGCCATTACTCTTCAGCCAGCGCTGAATAGCCCCAGCTTTAATGTGGCCAGAGTAAGGTAAGGGATTGTCAAAGTCACCGTCCTGGAACAAATAAAAGATAGGGTACTTCTCCTTGTCCAGCTTGTACTTTTCTCCCAGCTCAGTGTTTAGTTTATCACCATAATCTGTCATGAGAGAAAACACAGAAAAGCACAATATGCTAATCAAAAGAAAAAAAGCAGTTTTCTCTTAAACACAAACTGGTAAGTATTTCTCTCCTAAGGACCTCTTCGCCATGAAATGCCACACACTGCATCAAAAACACTCCAGGCAATACATCCTTAGGTTTTCCAAATGAAAATCCCAAATCCTAACGATGCTCTGCTGTGGCTGCGATAGCACGAGTCATCACCAGCATTTCTATGTACAAACCCACTTCTCCTTATGGGAAATTTTGATATATTTTTTTTTTTTGTTCTTGTTTTGCTCCATCCATTGATTTCATTTGATTTTACAGTTACACAGTTTTGTTTTTCTTGTCCTATGTGTAGAGAGCATGCTAAGCAGCAAGATGTTTGCTGTTCTTCAAGTTATGTTAATGAAGGGATTTCAGCTATGCTATGTAGGTAAATCCATCTGTGCTTACAGAAGTCAGCATGGGGGAAATTTAAAATTCAAACTCTTAAATCTACCCACAGTGCAAGAGGAAGTGCGGTGGCTGATGCGCTCCTCAGTGCTTTTCTCTTGAAGCCAATTGCAAGATGATCAAACTGCACCAGCTCTAGTGCATTGACCGCTTTCTGTGCTTCGTCAGCAGAACACGGAGGGTTTGCTACAAACTTGCAGCACGTTTCATTTTCCACACCCAAGCACAGCGTGCCAATCTGCTCAGAGCTCCTCACCTGATATACCCACTTCAGCCACCAGAAGATCTTCACTGGAGCCTGAGCTCTCTGCCAGCTTTTTGAACTCATCTTGTTTCTCGCCATAAGGGTACTGTGTATCAAACTTCACAAGGACAAACTTATGCTTGGGGATCACCTAGAACAAGAAAACAGAAAATCGAAATTCAGTCATGTCAGGTTTAAGCAATTCACAAGTAGCTGAAGGTTGCTTTAGCACGTTCTTATCTTCCTATGCAATGAGTAGGTGCAGAGGGAGGATAGAAATTTCATAATTATGGCCTTTGGTAAATGACTCACTGCAGCGTGAAGGAAAAATGCATGTCTATATTCTTACAGCAGATGATAAAGATGGTACATGATAGGTTTGGAGGATCTGCTAACAGCTTTATTTATACACGATCTGCTCACTGTAAATCTGATTAGCATCTTGGAAGAAAGTCAATGAAACAACTTTCAGTGGGACATTAAGAGGATAGAGGCCAAATCTAATGTCGCGCTGCATGTCCCAGCATGACAACCACAGCTCTTTGCTAACAGAGGAACAGGCAGGAGTGGAAATGCTGTGCTGGTTCACTAAACACAGAATTACTGTTTTGACTGATTCCCCTTCTCTTGAGCCATTGCTTTTGGATTTTGCTCAGGTTTCCCTTTCCAAATGAGTTTGGACAGAGCCACCAAATGGCAAAGGTTTGGAAGGGATCCCCAGTCCAACCTCCCCCCACAGCAGCTTCCTTACAGCAGGATGCACAGGAAAGTGCTCGGGCAGGTTTGAACATCTCCGAAGGAGGAGAATCCGCCATCTCCCTGGGCAGCTCATGCCAGGGCTCTCAGCCTTTCCCCACCACCAGATGCTCCAGGCCCCGACCACCTCTGCAGCCCCCTGCCAGTCTCTCCAGGAGTTCCCTGTGTGCATTGAGCTGGGCTCCAGCTGCGGCCTGCCCAGGGCACAGCAGGAGGAGGATCAGGATCGCCTCCCTCGCCCCCTGCCCACGCAGGGTGGTAGAAGAGTTGTAGAACGCGCTATCCTTACAACGCCCAAGAAGGTCTGTCACAGCACACAACCAAGCAGAGGGCCGCCCCGTGGCAAGAACAATTTTCAGCTTGTGTAGAGCAACACTTTCCTGACTGCTGTCCCTTCAGTCCCCTCGCTGCACTACGAGGCTTTCCAACAGGCGCGCCCACGGCGGGGCCCGGCTTCGTGCAGCGGTGCCCAAGGCCAGGCAGGCCCCCGCGGCACGGCTCCACTTGGACCGCGCCGATTGGCTGCGCGCTGCGGCTGCCGCTCTGCTATTGGCTGCGCCGCGGCCGGTCCGGCGCCTCGGCCATTCCGCGAGCCCAGCGCTCTCCTCGCGGCGCAGCCCCGTGCCCGCCGCGCAGACCCCCGGCTCTCGGGGCCTGCTCTGCGCGGTGCGGACAGTCGTGGTACCGCACGTGGCGGCGGCGCAGCGCTCCCGACGCGGCCGCACCCCCCTTCCCGAGCGCCCCGCTGAGCCCGGCTACACGCTCCGAGTGGGCGGTACCTTGTAGAAGGTGATGGTGTCGAGAGGCACGGAGCCCTTGGTGTGCAGCGCGCTGCCGGGCAGCGCCAGGCCGAGCAAGCAGAGGAGCACCGAACCGACAGCGGCCGCCGCAGCCATGGCGGAGCGCGGAGGGAGTGAGGCTGTGGGTCACGTGAGCGCCGGCCGCCGCCACCGGGGCTCGGCCCGCCCCCCTCCCGCCCCCTGCGCGGGGCTCAGGTGCGGCCCCGGGCGTACAGCGGGTCGAGGGGCTTTGGGAGCAGCTGGTGGTCTCAGAGAACGCGGGTAGAGCGTTCCAGGAGCACGTGGAGATTTTCATGTTGGTATCTGTGCACTTTCCTTACTCTGACAGCCCGGGTGAAGTGCGGGCGAGCAACGCACAAAGCCTCAGTAGCAAAGGGAGAGAGAATAACATTAACGGACGTAACCAAACCCCCTCCCTACACAAGCATAATTCTGAATCCCCATCCACACGGGCCAAACAATGAGCATGCTCCGTGCACTTTATCTTCCCTCGCTGTAGTTGTTTTATCATTGCCATATACCAGGGTGCCCGAGTCGACTAAAGTTAAATGAGGAGCACCTGTTAACCTCACGACCATTCAGA